CCCAAACCCCAACAAAGTGTTTTTGAATGTTGGCTGTCTATAAAGATGACCTGAAATGTTCTTTAAAAACAAACAAACAAACAAACAAACAACAACAACAAAATGCAGCTCTATTCAAGAACAATGGCAACAGAACCAATGTGAATTCGAAATCACTTGAGAGCTTTTAAAGCCATCAGCCAGCCCTCCAGTCCAATCAAATCAGTCCCTTTGTGTGGTGGCAGCTGGTACGAACATTTTTAAAAGAACTTCCCAGATGGTTCCCATGAGCAGACAAGGCTGAGAACCACTTATTTAAACCCTTTTCAGTTAAACCACACATCCCATTCATACACAGTTGATTTTTAGACTTAAGTGAAATCATTTTCATTCCCATTGAATTTTTCCCCATCATTCATTGTTTTGCTAATTCTCTTTGTTTTGGGTTACATTGAAAATATGGCACATCCCAATCATTAATTTTCATTGTTTAGCTGATGCTTCCTCCTATTTACACATAAAAAGTCCACAAGTAACCTCCTTGAGGTTTATTTACCTGGTTGTGGAAGCGCTCTTCTTCATCCTTTGCTGCTGTTGTAGATGCCGTTCCGTCAGTCCTGATTCGTAGCAACCCAGTTCTGACTCAGGCCACACAAAGAAACACCGCCCTGTGCCGTGTCACTCTCACCCCACTTACATGCTCCACATACAAAGCAGAACCTATACCTCCTGTTCCTGCCCACCAGAAAAAAGGACTTTGTTGATCTTTAGGATTGTTGCTTGAAGTACATAGACTTTTAATTTTTCAAAGCCATACTTATTTTACAATTCTCAATCAACTACTTCAACACAATAGCAACAATTTGGACAACTGTGTCACACAGATGTATGTTATCAGGGAAGTCGTATGTGGGGTAGATGGAACTGTGTCAGACAGATGTAACATGTTATCAGGGAAGTCATATGTGGGGTAGATGGAACTCTCTGAGCTACTTTTGTGGCCTTTCTGTACATCTAAAACTATTTTTAAACTTTAAAAAGTTTACATTTGTTAAACATTTCAACTTTGAGAGAGTTTCTTTCCCCTACATTGTCTTTTCTTATTTCCTTTGGAATCATCTTTCCTGTTTTGACTTGTCCTCCTTTTGAAACCTGCTGTTCTCCTTCCTACTTCCTCACCCAGCTTCCCATTCTCAGGAAACGGAAACGTTCTTAACTTGGCTCTTGAGAGTTTCTCGACCTTCTATTCAACTTGCCCTCTTTCTGTGAGGATGCAGATCCTAAGTAACAGTTATCTGGACCTCATTGAATCCAGCATGCTTCTTTTAAAGTTAATTTCAAAGTTATTGAAAACTGTTCTTTATATTTAATAGTAGAGGCCTTTACAAAACATTAATAGATAAAAAGTGTTTGTGAAGTCACGATAAATTAATCTTTAACATAAGCATAAAGTTGTATTTTCTTTGTCTAAATGAGAGACTCTAAATGATTTTCAGGAAAAATTCTCACCTGCACTGTGGGAAAAAAAAGCATATCACAACCTCTTACAACACGATGACGCTGAATTAATTAAATAGGCTTCATATTTCAAAGCCCAACTTTTGCTAAGCAATTTTGATTTCTGTCGACATTCAGGGTGAATTGATGCTAGAGGAAATTTGGTACACGCGAGGTTTACAGGATTAGGCCAGGAATGCCAATGACATATGCAGGAAGTACATCACTATAAACCTGTGCCCTATTGGGCTCTGATTTGGCGAACACGCTGAACAATATAAATCATTTTTTAGGAATAAGACACTTATTTCAATGTCATTCTAAATTCCGATTTCATATTTGTTTCATAATAATAGTTAGCTGACGTGCAAAATTCTCCCTAACAAAACAAAACAAAATATTCTTCTATTGTTGTCAAACCAAACCCACTGTCATCAAGTCAATTGTAATTCATAGCTAGTCCACAGCACAGGCTACAACTGCCCCTGTGGGGTTCCAAAACAGTAACTCTTCATGGAAGTCGAAAGTTTCCTCTTTCTACTCTTGTACCATTATAAAAATGAACTTTCCCAGTAAAAAATGAAGCATTCATCTAATCACTGTACTGCATATACTCGAGTATAAGTCGAGTTTTTCAATACATTTTTAATGCAGTTTTTGTGGTAAAATTAGGTGCCTCAGTGGATAGTCAGCTCAGCTTATACTCGAGTATATATGGTACTCTTTTTATCATAATAAAAATTCAGGATTATCTTTAAAATAGAAGTACTTAAAATACAGAAAAATCTTTCCTTAAAGAGATGAGAAGGGTAGGCACATACGTTTATATACATGTAACCAAACACACATATCAAACTTTAAATACTTAAAGCTGTTTAAGGTTGCTTTTCCGACCTGGGCCGGGTCACCCCTGCTTAGGCAACCTGGTGGTCCCCTGATCCTGGGAGGTCACCATATTGATGCCGAACTTAGTGCGGATACCCGATCGGCATAGCGCACTGCAGTCCAGAACTCCTGGACTCAAGCGATCTTCCAGCCTCAGCCTCTGGAGTAGCTGGGACTGCAGGCGCGTGCCACCACCCACCACGCCCGGTTAAGGTTGCTTTTCCAAATATAGTTCATGCTTTTTTAATCCAGGGCAACAGTCATGGGCGACATAACTAGATGTGGAGGTTATCGTTTATGCTCCACTCTTTATAAAACATGCTACCTCAAATATGAAAGAATCCATGCTAAGTTACACAAATCACTCCTCAGCTCCATTATTTTACATACTCATAATGAAAAACACTGGCCCTTTCTAGCATCCAAGGCTGCTATGAACAAGGATCCATTACTGAAGGCTGCTGTTATCAAGAAGGATTTAAACTCCCTGGGAAATCTGTGGTTGTTTTTTAACAGCTACAGTTATACTTTTATGGAGTCACTAAGAATGAAACTCTTCAAATACGGAACCTACACCAAAACAACAAACAAAATCACTGCCGTTGAGTCAATGCTGACTCAGAGGGACTCTGTAGGATTCCGAGACTCTAAATGTTTACAGGAGTAGAAAGCCCAGTCTTTCTCCCGCAGAGCCGCTGATGGTTTCGAACTTCCAACCATGAGGATCGCAGCCCAACATATAACCACTCTATCACCGCGCGTCTCAAGTGATACAAATTATAGTTCTGGAATTTGACACTTTTTGGACCAAATCCATTTAAATGATTAATACCACAATTTAAAAATAATCTTATCTTTCATTGACAAGAACTTGATAGTAAAAAAGAGAGTTGATGTATTTCAGGCAAAATGTAAGAATAATAACTGTGTATGCAGGACACAACATATATTCTTTAAAATTTATTTTAATTACTACCCTCTATGAATCATTTGATTCATTAAATGGATTAAAATTACATGACTATCTGGCAATGACATTGAAATTGTGTATCTACCCAGAAAGTGCTATGTATTCACGGGAAAAGTGATACACAGGATTTTATACAAATCTTGTGTATTTTCCCCAATAATTACATATATAAAGAATATTTGTAATTATCCTTCTCTGTGCAAATATGCTTTAATTATATGAATTAATGACAGACAACTGTAAGGTGATACCCTTTTCTTACTTGACTGAACAAGGTAGCTGGCTGCCAGTACAACCCAAAACTTCCTTCTGATTGCCTCTAATCAATCGGGGGTTAGCCTGACCAAAGGAAGTAATCTCGAGAACACTGGACATTATTCTCAATACCTGGGGGTGTTGACTGGTGGTCAAGGCTCATCAAGACCAGTAAGTTCTTTGCTCCCAAAAGCCATATCAAGGAACCTGGAATATACCACCTATTTTAAAGATAAAAATATCAAACGTCCCCATAGGTAAAAATATTCATCTCCATTGCCAAAGGAGTGCAGCAACAGTGATACATGAAAATGTACTCTTGGACTTGTCCGAAGAGAATTAAAATATTAGATCTGAAAGAGTACTACCATATAAAAATGCCAATACAGAGGGAATAGAGGCTACTGAATTATCAGTGTATTAATTCATATGGTGACGAAACTTTACTTGGGTGGTAAAGAATATTATTAATATCCATAAATGTGAATGCAATCTACTGAGATCAAAACCTACAAAGTCTACAGTACGCTTATGTTAAAATTTGAAAAACAACAAAAAAAAAGAAAAGCAATTGCCCAACCTCAAATATATTTGAAATCGTGACCCTGAATAGCTCATGAGTTAGTAAATATGTTATAAGGCATCATTTTCTAAGTGAATATTTTATAATACTGCCTGTGTAGTAATTTGTATTTTTCGTATTTGTTGCCTTTTCTTCTCCTTTCCTTTCTTTTCTTTCTCCCTCCCTTCTTTTGGGAAGGGGTTTCAATCATGACCTTTCAGAGGAAAGGCACTTACTTACATTTTGAAGAGGCATATACTCCAAGCTGTGAACGTGTCCAAATCTGTGCTTAAAAATATTACCATTGTGGCGACTAATAAGTACATTTTGAACACCGGTTGCCTTTCTGAAATACTTTCTTTTTTGATCCCCAAATACCTTTCTTGTCAAGATAGTGCAGCAGTGTTTGGAAAGCATTAGGGCACCAACAGATGCTCAGAATCAAATGACTTAATAGGCATAAATTTTTTTTCCCCAAATAATTGCAAAGCTTCGGTTTAGCCTTTTGCATACCTTGCATAGTTAATTACCTAGGCCTTCATGTTTACATGCAATGAGAGTATCTACAGCTATAAACTACATAATTTATAATTGATGTAAATGGGTGTTATTATGTCAATTAGGCAGCTGTGTCCTCCACCTCTTGGTAAACAGCTCTGAGTGATAAACTGAGTTTGCTGAGAGGTACGTTCTTTTCTTCATACCAGATACAAACAAATTACCTAGGTAGACCAGGCTGTCCAATTGTTCTCTGGTGAAGCTGATGGAAAATCCAGGCCCTTTCTTTTGACCTGTTGACTGCAGCAAATGGTCAATTTCGTCACGCACTGCTGCCATGGCTTCTGGGTGCCGCAGAAGATAATACATCGCCCAGAACATAGTTGGAATAGTGTTTGCCATAGAGGCCCAGAGAATGCCTAAATGATGTGCTGGGAGAAAATAAGTGAAAAGGAAGATTAATAGCGTTTATTACACTGATTAGATTTGCAGTGTGCTAATTAAAAGATGTTAGGACACAGACCCAGCCAAGGATCAGTGCATGCTAATGAGGACCAATAGGCTTCTGAAGTCTAATTTTCTGTTTAATGAGAATAGTTTAAAACGTAATGTGTAGGGGGACGGGAAGTTGGGGGCTGAGATAAAACGAGGGAATGCCGCTTAGTTATACTCTTTCTCATTATCACCACGAAGTATCTTGTTTTACCACCTCAGCAAAAAAAAAAAAAAAAAATCAATTATCAAAGTATTTTATCATTAGCCAATTAGAAAGAGCATAAAAATTTTCAAGGTCGCCATTTGGTCTTTTTATTTCAAAGGTCTATTGTAAATTATTTTCGTTCAGACAAGTAATCATTGAGAAGTTTCTTACCTGCAATTTCTGAGTTGTCAGGTTCATAGTATTTCTCCAGAATATCTTGCCTCATTTGAACAAATTCTGACCACCCTTTGAATTTAGCTAAGTTCTCTTGTCTGAAGCAGTTTATAATTCTCTTTTGCAAAGATCTAGCATTTCCTAGAAGCTCAATAGGTATGCCTGTTGCTAAGTATGGGAATATGTCATCAAATTTAATAAAATCATCTTTTAACTCACTAATAAATTTTTTCTTATCGGCAACCAGGAGATTTCCATACAGAGTTGTAAAGGTGACCTCAAATACTATTGAAATGCAGAATATTAACATTTTTTCCGTGTCCCAATTTCTGTTTCTTAATAATCTGGATTCAAAATTGTGCTTTATCTTTTCTTCCATGGTTTCAAAGAGTACTTCCAACGATTTTCCCTGCAAATACTGATAGCACACATGAAGGTCATGGTCAAGCTCTTGATTGGTTAATAACATTTTGATGGCAAAGGCATTATATGATACTTTGTGGCCAAACATCTTGAAGCTTAATTGTTTGTGATTTTTGGTCACTAACTGGAACTGGAAAGGGTCCAGGATAAATGTTATATACTTTCCTAAAAGAAAAAAAAATTGAGAACATGAGTTCATTTAGCAGTAAAACGAAACTAATTGCCTGAAATTTGAAACTAGTTTAATCAAGATTTGCTAGATCTTAATAGATAACATCCAGAAAGGTACTAATTTGACTAAAAGTCCATTTCATACAATTATCCAATGCAGGCTTCTTTTTAAACACTTAGAAGCTCAAGGATAAATAGTCTTGAAAAGATGCTTTAATACAACAATTTTCATTTTAAGTAAAGTACCATATCATGTGAAATGTCCTTTAAATTGTCTCAGTATCGATTGGCTTAACTCTCATAATTTCTCATAATAAAACAAATAGAAAAAAAGGAAATCAAGACCAATGTGGTACGATGCCATATATTATTTATATTTATACTTTATCATTTTTTCCATACTAAATGCCATTTTAGCTTTGGTCAAACTGCATACTAATTTTAACTCAAATATGTGAAAATGCATTAGGGACTACACACATAGTGTTAAGCTGATTACTACTGGTAGGTTCCCGCAGGAGAGATCAGCCTGCTCCTTAGGGTTTCCAAGGCTGTACATCCGATGGAAGCAGACGGCCTCAATCCACCCCACGCCCCACCTCTACCCTGCAAAGTGACTGGCGCATTAGGATTAGGACTTTGGTTAGAACCAGACACTCATAAATATCTAATTTCACATTAGCAACAAATCACAAATAGTAGCATGTTAATATTATATGTAAAAAAAAAAACAGTGGTTCAAGGAAATGTAATAGCACGTTTAAAGCCAAATAGCTGATTTGTAATTGAAATGGTATGCCAAACCATGATCCACTCATTCAACATTTACTTTGATCCAGACATGCCCTTGGATGTTCTGCTCCTTGGGATATAAAGATAAAAACAATTTGCTCTGTCAGTATGAACAGTGATAGAAAAGAGGTTCAAAGAAAAATAAAAAGTGGAATATGTCTCCTTCTGCTTGCAAATATCAACAAATGAATCTTCAGGAGATGCCATTTGGTTTTCTCGCTATCCCCAGTGTTGCTCAACATTATCTAGTTCAAACACTCAAGGCTATCGGCACGGATTCCTGGAAGGTTCTCACTCAGTCAGCATGATGCTCAGAGGGAGGCCCACAGAGGCGGATCATACAATGACAGGAACTTCTGAGATTGTCTCATGTAACCTCTGCGTGTATCAGCTGAGAAAGCTAAAGAAAGTCAAGAGAATAAAGGGCCCAGTCCTGATAGTATTTAGACCGCAGACGCTGGGGGAGAAGTCACTCCCGGTGCAGACTTCTTTGCATCACACCAGGCTGCTTTTGCCTTCCTAAAGTACTATTTTAAGATTCCCTTTAAATAGAAGTATTGTGGAGGAATTATTCCATAATGACATTGAGGAAGTCCTTCCTTTCCAAGAAGACACATTTTAGACAAAAAACAAGTAAACGTCAAAGGTTTATAGAATCATTTAAGCTTTCCTCTTCCCTCATAATTTCCTTTGGAGGGGCTCAGAACGCTTTCTTAGATGAAGGATTTCTCACTTGTTATGCATGGCCATCCAAAATGTATCCAAGGGATTAAATTCAATTTTTCAATTGAATCATAGAAATAGAAAAATGTATTTACTGTATTTTAAAGTACACGTGCTATAAAATTTCTCTAAGAAGAAGACTTAGGACATAACTTTTATGCACACCTTTGTCCTTTGATTCTTCTGACATGGCAGCCCCATCTGGACCTGAGGGTAAAGCTAGATGGGGCTCCTAATTCTGTTCAGATCCCAAACGGTCATCTACTAAGTGAAATCGTTTTTTTTCCCCTTGAGGAACTCAAAAAGGAATCAGCTGGATTTGGGTATATTTTATGACATCTGCTTTACCACAGAAACTTATTTAAGTAAAATTGCCAGCATCTGCCCGAGAAATTATTGACAAAAGCAGAGTCAATTCTCTTATTTGGCAAAAGATATAATTTTAGGCAAAGCTGTATATTTTTCACAGCTGGTGATTCATACTTTTTTCCTTGCACCACATGAAAGAAGTTGGGTAGCTAGATCTAGGGCTATTTTAAATTATTCAATAAAAACAGAAAGTACAAAAGGGACCATCTTCTCTGTAAACTACACAGTCTTTAGAGAATATTTTGAGTTTTGTTCCTATCAATTTGTTCTACAACACACACATTTAAGTGGAAAGATAAGAGTCAGCCATGACACCATTCGTTCAATGTCTTTGGGCCTCTGTTGAAGTAGATGCTCTATGTATGTGAACGTTTTTGCTTCGAATTGATATATGAATTCTCTGTCTTTATCTTTATCTTTCTCTCTTCCTCTTTTTCTCTCACTCTGCATGTCTCTCTCCTTAGGGATTAAGATATGAGAAGACATCACAAGATTGATTTCAAATAAGAAGTCCATGGGGAACTAGGTCTCCTCAGTGGAGCAAAATTATTAAGAGCTCAACTGCTAGGCAATAGAGGGAAGGCTGGTGGCTCCAGCCCACCCAGAGGTTTCACTAACACTGAAAGGTCAGTGCTTGGAAAGCCCACAGAGTAGTTTTATTCTGTAAACCAAGGTCACGGAGTCAAAATTCATGAAGCAGAAACTAACCACAAAGTCAAAGAACACTGAGGAAAATGAGTTGATCCCCCCAAAAAAATTCCTTCTAAAGAGCAGCAATTACTATTAAGTGGTTTCTAAAATATGCATTTGTGTATATACAGGTTCTGTAAAAGTCAATTATTATTTTAAAGCGATTTGTGAATATGATTCTCTCAAGTATCTGTATTTGTTCTTTCTAATTTTTATCTTAATTTTTCCAACATCAAGGCATTGTGCTTTACCTATCTTTCTGGCTGAAACACAGATTTTATTTTATTTTTTGAAGTAAATTCTTTAATTTTCTGAATTTGATTTTTCAAGTGAGTTTGAAAATACGAATAACCCTGGAGATGTTAACTGGCTTTCCAACTTTTAATCTTCAGTATAAACAATTTAAGCTAAGTTTTTCAAAATTAATATTAATTTAAACCATCTGTCCACCATCTGCTAATGTGAGATGCAAAATCAAGAGATTCTTTGTGATCTTTAATCAGACAGGGAAACACATATACATTCATAAAATGAATTTAAATTTCTTTAACAAAGGGAATCTGGAAATCTATTCTGAGGGCCATGTATTCTTAGAGTAAAATTAAGTTTTTCTGGAGTGTGATTTATGTAGATGAATGCTAAGTGTTAACAGTTATATTCACAAAAATCACAAGGTAGGAGCATTATTTTTTGCCATGTTTTGAAAAAAGAAAATAATGCTGTCAGCAGCTCATACAAAACAAATATTGATATAAAGAAATTCAGAGCTTGAGTTAGTTTAAAATCTAAATATCAAAAGGGAGTCCATTTCTGAAAAGAAAAAGAAAAAAATAAACACTATCCTTCTGACTAATACATTTATGTGAAGTGGGGCCAGACTTTTCTTGCCAATAATCTCATTCCATTTCCTTCTTAGGAGCTGAATATGCCCAAGAAATGAACTGTAGTATTCCTACAGTCAATTAATCTCTTGATCCCTGTAGTAGCCCTAGACAGGAACGCTGGGGAGTGGGTTTTGTGTTGGGTTGCTAACTGAAAGGTCAGCAGTTTGAAATCATCAGCTGCTTCAAGGGAGACATATGAGACTTTCTACTGCTGTAAACTGTCAAGAGTTACAGTCTCAAAAACCCACAGTGGGAGTTCGACCCTGTTCTGTGGGGTCCCTGTGAGTTGAAATTGTCTTGATGGCAGTGAGCTTTTGAGATTCCTACATAGCCTGAGGAGCTAGTTAGTTTATTATGCCAACCTTTCCGATGAACACATGTGGGGTTAACTGAAGCATGGAGAGATACATGGTTCAGTGAGCCTCGCCTTTCTAGTTCTCGGGTCTCCTGCTTTCTGATGGTCGGACCAGGGTGCAGCTGCCTTAGCCAGTTCCCTGCTTTGGCTGGCAAGGCTCACTTTCTGCAAGCCATCCCTGAGGAGAAGCCACATGGACCTACCCTGATGCAGCCCTGGGTGATGGGGCAGCGGTGTGGAGACCCCTGCCAGCGCTGAGATGCTTACACGTTCACTGACTCGGCTTTCCTCCTGCAGTCGGCATCATGGTGTGTGTTTTGTGAGATGGAGGAGGACTTTGTGGATTGGTGACAGACATATGGGCTAATGTTGGACTTGTGGGCTTGGGCAGCACTGGGTTGGGATGTTTTCTTGATGTGCTCCTACCCTTTATATAAAACTCTCTCTTATACATATGAGTTTCTGTGGATTTGTACCCAGACTAACACACCAGACATATAATTCTTCATTAAGTTAAAAATTGTTGCACATACATGAAAATGAATTCTTGCAGGAAGGTGAATTTACATGGTAAGAAATATATTGGTGAATGTTTAAAAAAATCCAGTCATTTAACCTGATGTCTTGTACAGAAGTTCGACATCAAGATCACTGCAAATTGAGTCATGATTTTTGATTTCAGAAATTTAGTGTTATAAAGATGAGAAATCAGGACAAATCTCTGCCCATCTGGAATACAAATGCCCTGCTAACAAACATGAGACAAATGTGAATTTAAAAAAATTTACTATGATGACAAGGTTTCAAAGTACTTGTTAGTTGATTCTTTAGTAGATTAAAAAAAAAATCATAAGCTGATTATATTCGTTGGAGGAGCGGCAGATGAACCAACTTTTTTATTTCCTTGAAGGTGGCCACATTTACATAGGCCCGCTCTTATTAGGGAGATTTCACTGAGCGGGTGACAATGATGTACAGTGGAACTTCTCCGGGGTGACGTCCAGGGAAATTGGTGCCTCTGCCCCACCACACAAAACCAATTAGAGAACTATTTTCTGCGACAGGTCACGAATTTACGTGGTTTCTCATGAAAAGATGTACCTTTTAATTTCTTTATTAAAATGACATCCGTGTCCCTTGGGACTTTTCAGGATGACAATCATTTGCTCATCATGCCAGAGCACACCCTCACTGAAACCACATTGTGAAACCAGGGCAGAGGACTCTGCTCCTGGTTGCCTATTTTCCAAATGAGTGACTTTACAAACTGATCATTCGATACGTGAGCAGGATCTGTTGGCAGGCTTGGCTCAAACACTCAGAAGAGACAAAAGGGATGTGTGGTAGTATATACTCAAGTGTAGTTGCCTACTGTTTTGTTCAAAATTACAACCATGGTCAAATTATTTAGACATTAGCAATTCCGTGTCTCTGATGAAGTTATCAAGTGTCAGCAGAAATGGGTGGTTTTTGGGGAATGCAATTATTCAAACATGCCTCTCAGTTTTGCTTAATCATCTTAGGTTATATCTGTATAATGTTAAAGAAGAAAAATGAAAATGTTCATAATTGGTTATCTATTCATGAAGACAAAAGGTTTAATTCTATCAAAAATGCAGAGGATAGTTTTTGAGTATGACTTTGTTTTCTAAAGTTAAGCATACAGTTCTGGCCTAAAAAGTCAAAAACACATTTAGAATGGAAGGCACAAGCCTGCCTTTAGTTGGATGATAGTACTTTGTCAGCTCTAAAGTGCTGAGAATTTACCCATCACATTATTTATTATGCGTCAACCTGTGCTGAGTTATGAGCTAACTGCTGGCAGCAGAAGAGCTAACAGAATAATGAAGAGAGACAGATATGAAAATTAGCAATCTATTCACAATATATTAAATGCTATGATAGCTGTGTGGCTGGGAATACTTGGAGTTCGGAGAAGAGTCATCACAGGGGGGGTAGGAGATGGTCAGTGGAAGCTACTGAGAGGAAGTAGTGCTTGACCAATATGCTGAAGGACAGATCTAAGCCAGTCAGGTGAAGACAGCAGAAGAAAGCATGAAGGCACAAATAACGCCAATAAGCCCCTGCCCCAAACCCAATGCCATTGAATTGTTTCTGATTGGCAGGGATTCCACAGAGCAGCGCAGAACTGACCCTATGGCTTTCCAGGACTGTAAACCTTTACGGGAGTCAAAAGCCTCATCTTTTTTATAAGGAGCAGTTGTTGGTTTTGAACTGCTGTCCTTGTGATGTACAGCCTTGCTTGTAACCCACACCACTAGGGCTTAGACTATGAGAGGGAAATTTCACAACTCAAGAAACTAGGCTGAAGAGGAAGAGATCTTCATGAGGTGTGTGAAGAATATGTTATATACCCGATTTCCTCAATTCCTATTCATGGCTCTTTTTTTTTTTAAAGATTGCAATTTTTCTGAAACCAGAGTGTTGGGAGAAACTTCCCAGCTGTGAGGCCGAGGAATACACTGTGATGAAACTAATATTATCTGTTCATGTGATAAAACAACTCTACTTGTTAAATGCCATCCAGTTTAGGTAATTATTTGCATGTTCCCCCACAAAAATACATTAAAGAGGATTTCTCATGGCCCAGTGGTTAAGTGTTTGGCTGCCAACATAAAGCACAGAGCTTTGAACATCTCAGCAAATTCTTGGAGAGAGATGTGCCAATCAAGTTCTGTAAAGACGTACAGGGTTGGAAACCCTACAGAACAGTTCTACCCTCTCCTCTGAGGGTGTTGGGAGTTTTTCTTCCCTACATGACAATGATAGCACCGAAATGGTAGAATCAGCTTCGTGTTTGTCTTGCTACTTGCACAAGCTTGTCTTGGGCCTAGAACACTTTAATATGCCAGGTTATGGGAAATCACCGCCTCACCTGTGAGGCTCTCTTGAACCCCCATGCTTTGTCTTGCTGTTCTGCTGTGACTGTCCTATGTTTGTATACAACGTTGCCTCTGAAATTCATCAAAGCAATTAAAGCAAGAAAAAACAGGTGGCGCTCTAGGAATGTTAGGGTTGTTCTCGGGCACCTTGGAGTCAGTTCTGACTCAGGGCAGCCTTATGTGCAACACTGCTGGGCCCTGCACCATCCTCACAACCGGTTCTCCGTTTGAGCCCTCTGTTGCAGCCCCTGTGTCAATTCATCTTCTCAGGGGACGTCCTCCTTTGTGCTGCCCTGTCCTTTACCAAGCATGACGTCCTTCTCTAGGGCCTGGTCTTTTCTAATGGCACGTCCAAAGTATATCTGAGGAAGTCTTACCATCCTTGCCTCGAAGGAGGATACCAGCGGCATTTCTTCCAAGACAGACCTGTTTGTCCCTTTGGTGGTCAATGGTACTGTCTAGATTGTTTGCCAGCACCAAACACATCGATTCTTCTTCGGTCTTCCTGATTCAATGTCTAACTTTCACATGCATATGAGGCAACTGAAAAAAATACCATGGCTGCGATCAGGCCCACCTCAGTCCTAAAAGTAACATCCTTGCTTTTCAACACTCTTTATAGAGTTGGCATGTAGCAGATCTACCAGACACAATGTACTGTTTGATCTCTCGACAGCTGCTTCCCAGGAGCCTTAATGATAGACCCAAGCAAGACAAAATCCTTGACAACAACCTTTTTTTCATTCCCCATTAATGTGACCCGTTCATCCAGTTGTGAAGACATTGGTCTTCCTTCCCTTGAGTTGTAATCCATACTGAAGGCTGCGACCCTTGATCTTCCTCAGCAAGTGCGCCAAGTCCTCCTCACTTTTAGCAAGCAATGTTGTGCCATCTGCATCTAGCAGGTGATTAATAAGCCTCCCTCAAATCCTGATACTACCTTCTTCTTCAGAGAATCCAGTTTCTGTGAGGACTTGGGCAGCACACTGATGGAATAAGTATGGTGAGAGGATACAACCTTGATCCACACCTCTCCTGATTTTAAGTCATGCCGTATTCCCTTGTTCTGTGAACACAACTGCCTTGACCCGTGTACAAGTTCCACATGAGTGCAATGTAGTGTTCTGGAATTCCCAATCTTTGTTATAGTCCACACAGTCAAATGCCTTTGCCTAGTCAATGAAACACAAACAAACACTTTCCTGGCATTCTCTGCTTAATAGTGCTTTTGTGGAAACTGTGCATAGAACAAAAGGCAGTCCTTAAAAGAAAGACATATTTCACAGTTTAAGATCAGGAAAGATATGCATCATGGTTGTATCCTTTCACCATACTTATTTATCTGTATACGGAGTTATTCAGTCTATGTGCTGGGCAAATAATCCAAGAAGCTGACTCTGAAGAAGGAGGTGACATCGGGATTGGAGGAAGACTCACTAATAAGTGAGATCTGCAGATGGCATAACTTTGTTGTTGAAAGCAAAAAGGAATTGAAGCATTTACTTACAGATATCAAAAACTGTAGCCTTCAATCTGAAATGTACCTCAACATGGAAAACACAAAAATCTTCACAATTGGGCCAGCAGGCAACATCATGATTATCTAAAACAGATTGAAGTCGCAAAGGATTCCGTTTTACCTGGATCCATAATCTATGGCCATTGAAGCAGCTGTCAACAAATTAAATCAAATAATGCATTGGGTGACTCTTCTGCAAACCACCCCTTTAAAGATTTCCAAAGCAAAGAAGTCCCTTGAGGATTAAAGTGTGCCTGAACCAAGCCACCATAGTTTCTATTACTTCATGTGAATGGGAAGGTTCAACAATGAATAAGGAAGAGTTAAGAACTGATGCCGTTGAATGATGGTGTTGGCCAAGAATGTGGAATGCACATGAAGAACAAACAAATATGATTTGGGAAAAGTACACTCAGAAATCTTCTTAGAAGTGAGAACAGTGAGACTTCTTCTCACATCCTTTGGGCATTTTGTCAGCAGAGACCAAAAACCAAACCAAATTCACTGCCATAAAACCGATTACTGTCCCTGTGGGTCTTCGAGACTGCACCTTTTTTACACAGGTAGAAAGTCTCATCTTTCTCCTGAGGAGCAGCTGGTGGTTTTGAACTGCTGACCTTGCTCTTAGCAGCCCAACTTGGAACCACTGTTCAACCAGGTCTCTTTCAAGGGGGGGCAGGGGACGCTCCTAGAAAAGCACATGGGGCTTGGAAAAGTGGAAGGGCAGTGGGAAAAGGAAGTCCCTCACCGAGATGGGTTCACACCGTTACAGCAATCATGGCTCAGACTTAGAAAGCACTGTGAGGATCGGAGTAGGACCACTTGTGTTACTGTTGTCACTATGAGCTGCGGTCGCCTCCGCGGCACCTAACAGGAACAGATGATTGCTTGTGGTCCTATGTGAATCACGGGCGAAGGGAACTGAATGTGAAATAATAGAAGAACAACTAGTGGCAAGAGTGAGTTTCCCCAGCTATCCTCTGCAGGATTTAGTATATATATATGTTAAATGTCACAATTTTTCTGCTGAACAACAAGGCATTCTTTTGCATTTGCCCTATCAATAAAACATCATGACATTCAATATTTTGCCTAGAGAAGACAAATAGGCATTAAAGAACAGGTGAGACATTAGGAAACAGAAAAGTGTTTCTTACCCCCAATGAGAACTGTGAAAATATCTCCATGTTTCTTTTGAAGAGTTTTTATGTAAGTGACAGGCATTTTTTGAAAGTTCTGTATCTCTCCAAGATAAGGAAGCCAGCCTTTTATTAACGGGGGTTCTCCAGGTCTCCTGTGGGGGGGAAATGAATATATTTATTTATTATATACAAATGTGCAATATATTTTCGCATATAGAAAGAAAAGATGAAGTCATGCGTATTTGAATACATGTGTGTCATTTATCCAGTCTGTCGTGTGCCACTCAGCCCATTCAATGGACTGAAAATCTTAAGCGCTCCTTTCCGTTATCTTGTTCACTGATTCCTATGTAGCCGTAAGCATGCTTTTACTCAGTTTTTACAGTATGTATGTCTCTGAGCTACTGTATTAACTGCCACGGAGTCAATTCTGACGCATAGCGACCTTTTAGGACAGAGTAGAACTACCCCTGTGCATTTCCAAAGCGTTTTACAGCATCAGAAAGTGTCTTCTTTGTCCTGCAGAGCAGCTGGTGGCTTTGAGCTGCTGACCTTGTGATTAACAGCCCAACGAGCCACCCTCTGCGCCACCAGGGCTCCTTGCATCTCTGGGGCAGGCAGTTTCATCCACAACTTTAGTAGCTGCTTTTTCCAGAAATACACCAGACTTGAAAGGTGGCCTGGCCAGGTAATTTGAAACTGTCCTGTTTATTTCATGCCTGATGTCTTATCATCGTTAGTAAGTACCCACATCCTTAGAAACCTAAAAGTCACAAAATTCACTGCCATTCAGTTGATTCTGACCCATAGTGGCCCTATAGGATGGGTAGAATTGCCCTCATGGGTTTCCGAGGCTGTCACTATTTATGGGAGTAGAGAACCTCATCTTGCTCCAGCTGGGCGGCTTCAGGTTTCAAACTGTATACCTTATGGTTAGCAGACTGATGCATAACCACGCTGCCACCAGGGCTCTGGCATATATCTTTATCTTTGTCCCAATCCATCTACCCATCAAGCCATCTAGATATCTCGGTTGTTGAACTCAATTTGTTCCACATTCATGTTCAAACCTTGAAAAATTCAATAACTGAACATATTTTTCCCCCATAAGAAATCATGGAAGACTAAGTAATTGGTTTGGAGCCCCCCAAATTACACTTATAAATTCCCTCTGGAGGCTTTTAGCCTTCTCACATATCCCTGTCTGGGATACGCTAATGTCCGGAGTTGTTTTTGATTTATTCAAATTCACAGTAACTTTTCAGGTTCTTTGATGGTCTGGCTTCTTTGTTTCTAGGTTAATGATTTCACACTTTTTGCTCCATTAGCTGTTTTAATCACAATTTTATTTTTTGGAAAATGTTGGTCATGTTGATGCAGCCATGCTGTATTCAGATGCCAAATCAGAGAAGGGGCAACCTGATTTGAATTTTACAATGATTTCTTTCTTAAACTCTATCGTGGCTCTCACAGTCCTCTTGGCTTTACTGCTGGTTTCACTGACTTTCTCTGGAGCCATGATTATGATATTTCATGCAAATTAAGTGCTAAGGAAAGCACCGAAGTGAACGTTTCCCACACTAACACAAGCGCTATATGTTATCCGAGCAACAGTGGTGGCACGTGTTCCTGTGTGGGTCACTCTCCCTCTCAACCTGCACACGTCTCTTAAAGTTACATTTCCGGTTTGACTATCAAGATATGAACAGGGAGAAGTTTTTTTTTTCAAACTTTGCTGTTCCAGTAGTGGAAAGTTTGAGCTTGGGGGCATTTGGCAATCAAGGTCTCGCTGTATACTCAAACCAGTTGTTACTGAGTAACTTCTCATGTCTGGAGATTCTACGTGTGCAGATTAGAAGTACATTCCACAGGTTGTTCAGGAATAAGATCTATCACAAGCAGATCCTTCCAAAGTGCCTCTGAGAGTCTTTAGTGACAAACAAGTGAAAAGAAAGAAAAGAAAACGGTTCCTCTTGGTGAATTCGAATCTCCACTCCATCAGTTAGACAAACGTGTAACTATTTGCACCACGTAGGGATTCTTAATGAGCTTATGCCTAATGGTATCTCTATAAAGGTAGAGCAACTTGTTGACATAATTTATTTTGTGAAATTATTAGTTTGGTAAAATGTTGATCAAAAACAATTAGTAAACTGATTTTTTTCTCTTCTTCTTTTTCACAAGCCATATGTTATAAATGCTGCTTAGTAATTTTTATTAGTAAAATCTAAGCTAAGTTCACTGAACAATTTGTAATGGCTTAATATGTGCACAAGGAGCTCTGGTGATGCTGTGGGTGAGGCATTGACTGTTAACTGCAAGTTCAGCAGTTCAAACCCATCAGTAGCTCTGAGGAATAATGATGAGTCTGTCTGCTTCTGTAAAGATCTGTAGTCCCCAAAATTCTATATAGGATTGCTGAGTTGGTATTGACTCAATAGCAGTGCATTTGGGTTTTGAACTATGATGCTCAGTCCTATGCTATGGGATGAGCTAAATCTAACTTCTAGTCAAGCTAATTGTGAAGACCTATTAACATATTTCAGTTACTGATCTTTAAAATAAACATGAAAACCAAGCTCCAACATTCAAAAACAAAAACGAAATCCCATCAGAGCAGCAGGTGGATTTGAACCACCAACCTACCCATTAACAGCCCACCACCTAGCAAACAAGGCCTGCTTTTATACAGGTCTACCAGGTGTTTGGGGATTCGGACAACTGGTGATGCCTAGTGTGTCAGAGTGGAACTGTGCTTCACAGGGTTTTCAATAGCTGATTTTTCGGAATTAGATACATAGGCCTTTCTCAAGGTACCTCTGGAGGGACTCAAAGTAGCTGTTAACCTTTTGGCTCTCATGTAAGGGTGTCAATCATTTATACGGCCCTGGGACCCCTTTCATAGGTGTGGGTACACAGCATTTTTATTATTGATTTTTACTTACGTACATAGATCCCTCCATAGATGCGTGTTTTTAATCTAAATAAATCTTCAATTACATTGTTTTATGAGGGTAATTTTTAAAAAAAGCGTCGCTAGAAAAATCATAGAACTATTAAATAAATAAAGATATGAAAAGGTAGAGCTGTTGTAATTGATGCTTCCTCCCTCTAAGACTACACACTTCTGCAGGTGGTGTTTCCATCTCTCAAACCTTCTCCAAAGAATTCCGCCCTCCCGTGTTTTCACCAAACGGCAGTTTGTGTCAAGATTGTATTCTCTCACCATATTTGGTCAATCTCTATGCTGAGAAAATCATCAGAGAAACTGGCTTGTATGAAGAAGAACATGGCGTCAAGATAGGATGGAGGCTTACGAACAACCTGCGACATGCGGATGACAAAGCCCTGGTGCTGAAAGGGAGGAGGACTTGAAGTATTGCTGATGAAGACCAAGGATTGCAGCCTTCAGTATGGATTGCAGCTCAATGTCAAAAAGACTAAAATCCTCACAACTGGACCAACAGGTAACATTCATGGAGAATGAAGAAAGGGTTGAAGTTGTCAAGGATTTTTATCTTGGTTGGCTAAAATCAATCAAGGCTCACAGAAGCAGCAGTCAAGAGAGAAAATGAGGCATTGTGTTCTGTAAATCTGCTGCACGAGATCTCTTGAGAGTACTGAAAAACAAGGATAGTACTTGGAGGACGAAGGCATGCCTGAGCCAAGCCATGGCATTTCTCAGTGGCCTCATATGCCGGTGAGCATTGTACATTGACTAGGGAAGCCAGAAGAAGAAAGGATGCATTTGGATTACGGTGCTGGAGAAGACTATTGAAAGGCCCATGGACTGCTGAAAGGATAAGCTGTCTTGGAGGAGGGCTGGCCTTAGAGGCAAAGACGGCAACAAGACTTTGCCATCTTTGGACATATTGTCGGGAGAGACTGTTCCCTGGAGAAGGGCATCATGCTTGGTAACGTGGAGGGGCAACTTTAAAGAAGAAAGTCCTCAACAAGATCGATTGACAGGCTGGCTACAAGGATGGGCTCAGGCAGTGGAGCAGCTGCAAGGATGGTGCGGGACTGTGCTCTGTTTCCTTATGTTGTGCATAGGTTGTTATGGGTCGGAACCAAGGCAATGGCACCACCACCAGTTGGCAATTTTAGCCTCTTTCAGGGACTCAAATTTTGTTCCACTTCAATACTGAGCTGCGGAAACCAAAAGAAGTCCGAAGGGGCAAGATCAGGACTAGGGTGGGTGGGTAAGGTTTTCCCATGGATTTCCCATAGAACAGCCCTTGCTACCCTTGAAGAATGTGGATAAACAAAACAAAACACCCCAACAATTTCCTGGCTCAACTTTCCCGCTCTTTTTCTCACCGATGTTGTTTTCCATTTTCTTTAAACTTTTTCATAATGAGCTTCGATGATTGTTTTCTGTGTCCTTGGAGAAAATCTACCAAGATTACCCCTTTAGAGCCCCCAAAGGTCACCATAACCATTTGAACTGATCTCGCTGCCTGGAATTGAACCAGCCCCGCAGATCCCCCTGGAAGCCACTATTTTGATTGTCCCTAGCTGCCTGGCTCCCACTGATAAACCCAAGACTCGTGACAGGTCATGATTTGCCCCATAAAATTGTCCTCATTAGCTTCTTTCTTGCTTAAAAGGATGTTGGAAAGATGAGCTCTTTGAGGCAGCTGATCTTTGCACAACACGTTTGGCACCCACCAAAGTGATTGCTTGCTGAGATCAAGATACTCTCTTAACAATGAAAATGCAGAACCAGGTGAGCTCCCAACTTCATCAGCAATCACATCAATGGTAATTCTAAGGTCTTTTTTCAGCAGTTTCTGGACTGCGGTCACACTTTCATTCATTGAAGTTGGCAGTCTTCCCTCCTTTGACTTGGGTTTGACATTTTCCTAACTGTGCTTAAAATGCTTTATCTGCCAAAAAGATGGTTTTACCTGAGGTGAAACTCCTATACACTTACTGCAGAGTTTCCATGCAGAGTTTCCATGATTTAGAAAGATGTCTATCTGAGTTTTTTTAAAATTTCATATTGGTTCTGACCCCAAACTTGTTTTTCTCACAGCACCAAAATTAACCGTCCCCCACCCTTTTTTGTTTGGTAGGCACTCTAAGGAGACAAGGGCACACACACTCTTGTTTAGGCAAGTTGTCTGCAGTCATATACGTATTACTCCCC